CACATTACTTCAATAAATTAAAAAAAAATTTAAATATATTAACTGAATACATGCCCAAAGAGAAAAGGTGGGAAAGGCAAACAGCAAAGGAGGCAATGCAGAAGAAAGAAGTGGGAAGGAAGTGAGAAGTGAGGACAAAGAAGCAAGTCTGCTCTAGATGCAGGGAACAGGAGACACAACTCAAGATCAGCCTCCATCCCCATCCTGCTGACCCAGGAGCCCCAGGTTTGTCCTGGCAGTACGGCTAACAGATCCCAGTGAAGTTCAAGTCAAGGCAAAGAACCATTTTCCCTGGCATAAAGGTAACCATTTAAAAGGAGAAATTAACCAAGTTTTGCTGGGGGTGAAGCTGGAGGAATATTTACTCAGGAATGCTGATATTCACAGAACTGCTTCTCTCCACCTTCATTCTGCATCCTAAGCTCCAGGAGCCACTTAAAAGCAGGCCATCTATTTTCAAGAAGTAAATCTCTTGGACGAGTACCTTATGTTTATGAGCTGGAATGGGAAGGTGCTGGGCTGTGTGTTGGAACTCCCAGCCAGAGAAGACAGTTATCTCTTTTGGCACAGGTTCTCAGGGATGAGACCATGTCTAGTGGGGATTTTCTCCAGATTCGACAGCCTTGGCCCTACCAAAACGCACAGCTTTGTTTTCACCATACATCCATCACTCATCGTGAGTGTTTCGTTTTTCCTTTCAACCATCCACAGGTCAGATACTGTGTGTTCCCAACAGTCTGTGAACTTCTTGGACCAGCAAAGGGACATTCATTTTTCTCAGCACTCCTTCAACATTTCTATTGTGTTCGATTTCCCACTCCCCCTGCCCAACTCCCCAGAGAGTGACTTCTTCCTTGTTTTAATAACTTGGACCACAGTCAAGGTTGATGTGTTACTCCATTTTGCAGGATATTTTCTTCAGAAGAGACAAAACAGAGACTAACAGAGTAGCTGGGGCTTCTGAGCAGCTTTAGGAAATCAGCGGCCATTAAGAACACACAGGAAAGGGTTTTAAAGAAATAAAAAGCAGGCAATGCAAAGGCCCCATAAACAGAATTATTCATAAAGGTGGACTAATGCTTTCCCTGGCAATTTTCTTTCCCAGTGACTCACTTTAAAAAATCTAATTTCATCTGTGACTGATGAGAAGGGTCAGAGTTAAGAAAGTGGGTTCATAAAGTACCTTCTCTGACTTAAATTGAAATACAATACTCTCCTATTTGAAGTCATAAAAGTAGTTCTGATCTCAATGGGCACACAGACATCAGAAAATGAATAAAGAGAGGAGGAAAGAGGAGTAAATCAGGGTCAAGAGTATCCCCTTCTTCCCATTATATCAGGTTTTCATCTCGTCTTGCCCATGCTCTCCCTAAAATCCCATCCCCTCCATTGTAATAACACTGCTCCCTGACATCTAATGAAAGATGTCTCCAAGGACCTGCTTAGGACATAGGAAAAAACACTGTTTTGTTTTGTTTTTTTTTTTAGTAAAATTTTCAAGGAAAAAAGACGTGAACAAATATTTAAAATGAGGGTTATTCTAAAGTCCACAATCTTTTTAATAAAAAAAATTGATAATGCCTCATTTTTATGAGTGATATGAAAATTATCTTTTTTTCTGCAAAACAGGAGTCAGACCTCCAGTTTTTCTGTTATATATCTATTGTGTCACCATAATTTTTCTTACCATTGATTTAAACAGTGGCAACACACTAGCTGTGGATTTAAATAAAAAAACAGTTATTTATCTTTCTTCATGGAATATCTTTATTTAAATGTATTTTCCATATTAACAGTGTTTTCATACCATGACAAAAGTAAGTGAATCTGGCATCAGAAAGAAGAATGACCCCTACCCAGATTGTGTCTCCCCCGGACAAAAGCCCAATTTTCTACTGGGATAACAGATTCAACTGGATTCAGTTCTTGGCAGTTCATGGGCTTAGAGAGAAGAGCTAAGGAGTAGCCATTTTTAAGAACCATAAGAGAGGCAAACTGTGGGTCATGACACATCAGTGGGTTGTAAAATCAATCTACATATCCCAAGAAGCATTTTTAAAAATGACCTGGAATACAGTAGAAAAACATCAGCATGCACAGGTTGGAGTAAAGGTAAGCACTGTTTATGAAAATGTATGTGTATGTGTGTGTGCATGTGTGTATATTGGATCTTGGTGCAAAATGTTTTCAAAGTGTCACTATCTAGAAAGTTTAAGACACTCTGATCAAGGGCTCAGATCCTAGACTCAGAGAGAAGTGGGTTCCAACATGGCTCTGCCACTTACTTGCTATGTGAACTTGGATTAGGTGGCTTAGTCTCTCCACCCTCTTCATCTGAAAGATGGACATACCATTTCATCCTAGGATTGTCATGAGATCAAAAGAGGAAATATACAAAAGCCCCTTACACAGGGCCCAAGAATGGTAACATCCATATATGGCACAAATCACAAACGGAAACAGACATTCATTGACTTACAATATGTTCTAAAGGGATAAATCCAGTGTGAAAGAAGATGTTAGTATGTTAGACAACTGCAACTTTTTTTTTTGCTCTCCAAAGAGTTGCTTCTCTGTAGGACTACCTATCAAAGATATCTTATCCTTTTCATTCAGCTCTCTGAATAAAAATAGTGTGCAAGAAATACATTTTGGTTTCAGAACTCCCTTCCCAAAATGCAAGTACCAGACCAATAAAAACTCTTCTAGTTTTTTTTCCTTAAACAGGATTGAACAAAACAAACATCACTTTGTGCTTCATCCTTACAATATAGCTTCTGATTCCCCAGCAAGTGACTCATACAATGTGTTTAAAGGTATCAAAATTATCTCTACTATGGAAAGACCCTGAGTCAAACACGTGCCAAGATTCCTTATCTGTCATTTTTGTAACCAAGCAAACAAACAAACCCTGTACTCCAGCATGAAGAAATTTTAAAAATTGAAACATACTGCTCACTTCACAATCATGTTCTGCCTGTTCTTGTCATTTAATCTGGGGACAGCTTCTGAATTCTGAGAATGGGAGACAGAAGAAAAGGAAAGGCTCCAGAAAGAAACAGTGAGAGCAAGAAGTCAAAAGACATCAGACAAGTTGAAGGACAAAATGCTAAAAATTGTCAGCAGCCCCTTGGATGGAAGTGTGGAGAGGAAAATTACAAATCAATAGGCTTTTTTACTTTTGGGTCTAGAGAGAGAAAGGTGAGATTTGGATAAAGTAGAAAAATTGGGGGAGGACGTGGGTAGAAGGATCTACCAGTAACTCCTGGAAGACTGAAAAATAACTCTACTGATCACTGAAGGGTGATTCAAAAGCCAGGACTGAGCAAACGAAAGAAGGATGAGAAGAGGAAGATCAGTTCTGGGGTTCCAGAAGAGAAAATAAAATCAAAAGAAAGAGCTACAGAAATGTCCCAGGGTGCAGGCTATAGGGCTGGGAAGTCACAGATGTTTGAGAATGGAAAAAAAAAAAAAGTTTTTGCAAGAATTCTGGCAAGCCTTGGGGTAAAAATTAAGTTCTCCCTGAGAGATTTAAAAGCAAATAAAGAAAAAGAAAGTCATGTATGCCTGAAAGATCTGACTGATCTAAGAGGACTATGTATAATACCACAAACGTATTTAGTAAAACATTCCAGAGGAAATGAGCAGGGTTCCTGCGGCATCGTTGTAAAAGTTGTTTTCTAGGAGTATGTTGATGAGAATTGTCACCACCTCCATTTTGTCCACAATATGTCAATGATAAATAAGAGGCAGAGAGAGAGAGAGGGAGGGAGGGAGGGAGAGATTCTTCCCATCCCATTGCACCAACTGCTACCCTGATTACCCACTGTCAATCCTAATTCCTGCATCACCCAAGGCGCCAGTCAACAAGGCCTACATCATTGGCTTTGCCTTCATCGCATCGTCCACTCACTTGCTCTGCCCTTCTGTCCATTTCACTGAGCTGGAGCTCCCAGCAGCAACTCTAGAAGAGAAGAAGAGGTGGGGAATGGGGAATGGAGCATGCGTGGCTCTAGCAAGCCCCCCAGATCCCAGAATACAATGAAAAGCCACTAATACACAGAGATGCAAAGCTAGTTGTCTAGTTCAAAGTATTGAGCTTAGCCCCCAGTGCCACTGGAGCTGTGGATGGGGTGGAAGGCGGCACATGGAGGCTGGAAAGAGCCTCTGCTTTGGAATTAGATCCGGACTTGGAATCCCAGCTCTGCCACTTAATATGATGTGAACTTGGGAAGTTATTTAAGTCTCTGAGCTTGATTTACTTATTTGGAAAACAAGTGACAATACCTAAGCCTTACAATGTTGTTAGGTAGATTAAGTGAAGTGACTTAGAAGAGTACCTGGTGCATCACAAGGGCTTGACTAGAATCATATCCTAATACCCATCAACTTAGACTTGCTGGAAAATGAAAAGGAAGTTCTTGTACTGTTGAAAGCAAGTCCCACCTGTTTGCTTTTTTAAATTTTCAGGTGCAAAGAATTTCCCCTGCCTATACTGTGTTCTCCCTATTATGACTATATATCAAACAGGAAGAAAACCTGTTGGTACAACCAGGTGTGAGCACATCTTATTCTACAGTGTGCAGATCATCATCATTCAAATACAAATTTGGATCTTGGGCATTATAAACTGCAAGTATTTCTCAGTAAGATAATGTAATAGCTAACATCCATGATATCATTGACAAAACAAACATTAAATGAGGTTGAGTTGACACAATTTTGAAGAACTCTACAACATTCAATAAGTAAGGGCCACATTGCATTATCTCAATATTCTCAACTCACTTATTCCAGACACACACAAAAATCTCCTCTTTATAGTCCTAAAAATGTAATATTGACCACAAGCCACCAACCGGTGGAGGGAGGAAAGTATCTTAATCCTACATAGAGCCATGACTATTCTAAAGCTGCACTTTCTTCGTGAGTTATAAGCGTCTTTAAAATGGTTCAAGCAGGTGTATTTTTTAAGGGCCATGGAACAGAGAAAACCTTACCCCTTTAAAGTGGCTCCTAAGTTCATCTGATTCCAGGTCATGCATTCAAGCTGGGAGGTCATTTGGTATAAATTGTCACTGTTAGAAAAACATCCAGAGTTAAAAACACATAATTACAAAAGATATACAGTTATTTCTTCAAAAAGCAATGGCGGTTTACCTTTTGCTTTCAGTGAAAGCCTTCATGTTTTCCAAAATGACAGAATATGTGAATCTGAAACAATTTTCATTTCACCCCACTGATTCCTGCACAGCTATTCACTTCACACACAGCAGAAAGGATGTGAGAGTAATCTGGAAGCCTTTTAAAAACCTGAATACAGCAAACACAAGTTTCTAAAGAGGTATTAAACCTTTCAGGGGAAGAGGCTAAAGGGAGTGGAACTCTTTAAAGGCAACACAGGCTGGATAACTCAACATTAAAGTTAAAAGCCTGGAGCTGAAAGTAAAAAGACAGCAGATTAATTATTCGTGAAAAGGCCATTAAGTTGTTTTAATCAAAAGGATAAGTATCATGTGGATTATGAGGGTCTAAAAAGTCAAAGAGTGATGTGTGGTGGATGGGCTAATACTCCAGGGTGACAAGGAAAAGGAAGGGGATGATAAAGTCTAGGCACAACTGAAGGAATCACTCTCAAGAAATTTTATCACCCTAGTACAAGTGAAATGGAGTTTTAAAAAAAAAAAAAAAAACCCAGCCCCTGTTCTAGAAAGTTCTAAGAAGGTAAATAATCCCTGGTTGTTTACATTAAGACTCCAAAGGAGAAAGTACACTCTCATGTAAACCAACCAAAAGTTGTTCTCTCCTCTCCTCTTATTTTTATCTCATTCTTAGAAAACCGGCATATAAATCAGTGAGCAGAAATCTCCTTAATTACCCAGCTGTAACAGGAATACATTTAGTTCTGAACCGACATGGTTAATTATGAAATTTGAGACCAAGAGATGAATGGGTTGTCTGGGAACCCTTGGTCTAAACACATTACAGAGGCATACCTTCATTATACCTTCACAGCAAAAAGAGAGAAGCTTTCAATGTCTACCGTGCGTTATCAGGCCCCAAACGTAGACAGTCTCTGTCTTGTCATGGCATACCTTTGGGCTGCTGCATTGGGCAAAGGCAAAACCAAATTTTAATTAAGAGAAGGTATTGTCAGGCCAGCCAAACTCATGGAGGGGGTAAGGGAGATCGCAGCAACTTGTAATAAATGGATACCATGCTCCCTCTAGGCATAACTTGATAAATCATGGCAGAGTCCCTCTGCCGTTCATATAGTCACTCTGAAAATGATTTGGAACTCCTTCGTGGCAGGCATGCGGGATAAGGAGAAAATCAGATTCCAGGAGGGAATTTTACATATGAAATGTGAAGTGACTCCAAACTTGAAGTATGTGTCCTTTCATTAGTCAGTGTCTATCTGGACCACATCATTCATCCTTGTGTCTGACTGGCTATTATGCTACTACAATATCCTACATATCAATGAAAAAAATGATTAGTTTCTCCTGCAGCTTCTCCATTTGCAGTAGCGGCCCGTGCTGGTCTGTGCCACTACCGTTTCGCAATTCCACAAATTCTTGCTGTAAGGCTGGTGTAATTAATTCCTGAAGGACCCCAATTTTTATTAGAAGTGCCAGCCCTGCTGCATTTAACACAGAAGAGTTTCGTGAACTTTCTTTGGGCTGACAGCTCATTAATAAGCAGCCTCCTCCACAATCTCTACTGGTTTTTGTTCTCTTGCGCCTTTTCATCAAGCAATCCATTTATTAATCTCGCCATTAATCTCAGCCAACAGGCATTGTATTCCCCAGGCAGCTCTGTATTTTTGTCACTGATTTTTAAAAAATTGTTCACCAACTAAAATCACTCAGCTCTGGTTGACAATTTTCCTAGGCCCTATTGGGATGTGGGGTCTTTCTGAAATTATTTCATCCTTGCATAAGACTAAGACCGTAATTTTCAAGAGAGCTGGGAAGCAAGACGAGGAACAGAAGTTTAAGCACATGGGTTAATGGGACCCAAATATCTAACTTTATGATTTAGGAATTTTCTCACAGATGTAAAGTATAGTCCAGTAGATTCCTGAGGGTCTCTATAAGGAAGTACCCCAAAAATAAAATATTTTTAAGGCCATTTTCTCAGCCCCAGAAAGCAAACTTTCTCAAATATTTGGCCTATGTCTTAAATGTATGTATTGCCCTAGTGTGTGCTTAATAAATATTCCATACTGCCTTAAGTGATAGCTACTAGTCAGACATGACTATGTTGACCCCTTGAAATATGGCTAGTGCTACAAGCTGAAATAAGATTTGACTATTTTGAATTAAATAGAATGTATTAAAAATTAATTTCACGGTCTTATTTTTTAATGCAGCTACTAACAAATTCCAAATTATAAATATGGTTTGCATTGGTTTTATTGGACAGTGCTGCTCTGTAAGTTTTAAGACACTGAGCCAGTCAGTTCAGCTCTCTGCACCTCAGTTTTCTCATCTGCCAAATGGAAATATTAATCTCAGTCTAACTCTACAGGGATATTGTAAAGCCCTAAAAATGGCCCTTTGAAGACTATACAGATCGTACATTTTAATTTTTTCTCATCTATCAAAATTTGGACACTTCTTTTCACACATCCCCAATATGCCCCCACAACTTTGTGAGGCGAGTATAGTTATGATCCCCATTTAGCAGAGAAAGACTGAGGCTCAGGGACATGCCTGATGCTGGCCTTACTGATGCTCCCACCCTACCTGCCCCATCTCTTTGAAGGCATCCTGGCATCATTTGGCTTCTAAGCTCATCATCTACCACTTAAATAATAATAATCATAATAAAATAATAATATAGACAAGTATGGAGGTGAAAGAGAACAAGTTACAGAAAGCATTGTGATCGTTTCTGTCTCCAGAAAAGTTGAAAGATGTAAGATGCCCAACACATCCTTTTCAGGTAACTAAAACTACTATGCCAAGATTGCAGGAGGAGCCCCACTTCTTGATTTAAGGGTCCTGACAGCTCAGCTTGCAAATCCCCGAGGGGAGAAGAGATGGGATGGGCCAGTAGGGGAGAAGGACTTTTAGACACCCCCTAAGCTACTAATAGGTTTCCTGAGTCCGGTGATAGGATCAGAGCACAAATTTTTTAATGTTTTATTTATTTCTAGGAGAGAGAGAGAGAGAGAGACAGCGTGAGCAGGGGAGGGTCAGAGGGAGAGGGAGTCACAGACTCTGAAACAGGCTCCAGGCTCTGAGCTGGCAGTCAGCACGGAGCCCGACGCGGGGCTCGAACCCACGAACCGCGAGATCATGACCCAAGCGAAAGTCGGACGCTTAACCGACTAAGCCACCCAGGTGCCCCGCACAATTTTAACCACATCCTGCCTTCTACTGGCTGAAGTTCCTCAGTGGTTCCATCAGTCAGCTTTGGCCGGCACCACCTTTTGACTGGAAGTCAATGACAGCAATGACAATAACTGCTCTGCTGGGGAGGAGACAGAATGTGAACCCGAGCTAAAAATACTGGCCCAAGCATGCTGCAGCTCTGATCTCTTTGGGCAATCGGTCAACACCCGGCTTTCATCGTGAAAACCCACAGAAAGAGGCAGCACTGGTCAAGGAATACATGGCCTCGGACAAATAAGCATCTAATTATTAAATAACCACCGTAGGTGTTGACCACCTCATTCCCAAAGGAGATAGATAAGCAGGTGGTTTGGCTCAAAGTAACCACAGTGATCACGTAGGCATTTCAGCTCGCCGTCTAACTCTGTTCGGAAGTGAACTCTGCAATTGCAGGCTGCCAAAATATATTCCAAAAGTCGTGGTATCCTTTATATTTTTTTAAGTAGATTTTTTTAAGCCCCTTGTTTCCTATGTAAGAAATGTTTGAAGTTGGAAGCAAGGGAGAGAGGAAAAAAACTTCTGTAACTGGGATTAATGCAAGTTGGAGTAAAATAAAAGGAAGTCAGTCCTAGCAAAAAGAGGAACTTAAAAGGAAATCGGTAGTAGATCATATAGAGTTTGTTTTGGCCTGGACTCCAGTATTACTGAGTTCTCGACCTCCACACAAAAAGAAAGGAGGAAAGAAAGCCCTCAGCTAGTATCTGGGCTGGGACTCCTCCACTCTTCAAATGTGTGTGTAATTCAAGTACATTTTCACTTTAAGAGTGTTTACTATATATTCAGCAGAACAAGGTAGAAAAGTTCATGTCACCACTGGAACGGAGCCGTCGAACCTGGTTACGGCTGGTATTACTTCTGCCAGATGGTTGCCAGCTGGCAAAGTAGCACCTTGGCGGAAGTAAGGAGTTTCCCCCACAAGACTGAAGGAAAAAAAAAGAATGAATGGATGAGAAAAGAAAATTCTAACCAAGAAAAATGCAGATATAACTGCCATCTGTGATCAGAGTTCACGATGTCCAGCTTTTGCTGCAATAGCCCTGCCCCGCACCAACAGAGAGGCCCTTGTGGGTTCACCTCTCCACCTGATAACCGAGGCTCAGGAAAAAAGGCTGCAGCCAGACTTCCACACAGCCCTTTTCCTGCGTTCTTCCCTCCAAGGCGCCATAGAGGCTGCTTGTTGAGAAATTTCTGCCCAGCAGGCCATGGTGAATAATTATTTTACAGTCAATCTCTTGGTATTGTTATTTCTCTCCAGCTCACCAGTTCACCAAAGAAAAACCCACTGGGGATTCAACTTCTATTAATAAACACTTGGTCAGCACAAAAGTTGCAGGAATATTTGAAACTACATGTTTCCCCCTCCCTGGAGACAAGTCCATTTCAAGCCTTTGGTTTTGATAACACTGCCCACCCTTGGAAACCATTTCAGACTTTCTGCCTTCATGCCTACCTATGTGGGAAACAAGTATCAGTATTGTCATAAGTGAAACTTGTACACCATGTAAATATATGTAGACACACAAGCGAAAAGAGGTATTATCAAATATAGCTTTATTTCCTTGGGCACGAGCTGTCCTCTGGCTCGTGTCTATGTTGAAGGCCAACCTAAATAGTATATGGTGCACTTCCCAAAGACCTGGATTCCCCAGAAACTCTATGGCTGCTACGGAAGTCTC